ATAGATAGATAGATAGATAGATAGATAGATAGATAGATAGATAGATAGATAGATAGATATTTTTAAAAGAGGAAGGAAGGAAGCCTAAAGTCCAAATTGTTGAGTTTTTTCCTTTCTTTTCTATTGGCGCATGGTCTTACGATGTAACCCAGGTCTAACCTCCTATGCACATCCTCTTGTTTTAGCATCCTGAGGGCTATGGTTATAGGCAGCATCCATCGCTACAGGCACAACTGTTTTTTACTTTGTTTGTTGTTTTCTCCCTATGAGGTGAATGGCCTCCTCCTTCACATACTCCCACTACTATGCTATTCTGACTCACCTTGTGTCCAGAATCAACAGAGCCAAGGATCAGAAGCTAAAATAAATCTTTGCTCCTTGGGGCTGTTCTTTTAGGTAATTAATTTGGTTTCAGACAGACAAATGTGACTAAAATATCCTTTTCCTCCTGTGCAGAACACAAAACTCTTCAAAGATGAGCGACTATTTTGCAATCAAAAGGATAAACATAGAACTGAAAAGATGCAAAACAAGCAGTTATAAGGGTTCTCTTGAGTATTTGGAAGGCAAACCTGGCTAGTCAGCAAAACGGTAGTAGTAAATTTCCCATTAGGGCCTATGACTTCTCCAACCAAAGGCTCTTGACCAGTTTTACAAAACTAGGCATGAGTTACCACTGCAAATAAATATATAAATAACAACTTTCTTCTCCTGTCCTCTCCCTACTTTTTCCAGTTCTGGGGGTTTACTACGATAGGACCTCATACACGCCAAGCAAATATTCTACCTGTACCCTTGTTTATTTTGTTGTCTTGAGACAAGGTTTCACTGACTGGACTTCAGTCTGTCACTTAAGCAGGTTTTGAACTTGGTAATCCTTCTGCCTCCTGTATAGTTGGGATTCCAGGCCTGTACCACTAGACCAGGTCATTTCTTTTTCTTTGCTCTGTACTTGCTCATAGCGGAAAGAAAGAAATCTAGAGGAGCGGGAGCCCTAGGACAGCTTGCATCTTCTGGGTTAGTGGTTTCAGTAGGTCTCCCTCCTTAGAGAAGCACTGACTATCTTGACAGGTTCTTGGGATGTGCTGTGGGGAATAAAAGTTGCCATGCTTAACAAGCTCAGAGAAAAATGTATGCTGTGTTCTAATGTGGGTTTCGCCTTCAAAACTTACACTAAATTTTATTTCCAATATAAAAGTGTTGAAAGGTGGTAGTATCTTTAAGGGATGATTAGGTCATTAGAAGGGAACGACTTAATTCTCAAGCAGCTGACTTTATTAGCTTGAGAGCATATTGGTATAAAGCTGGGCTTCTTTTTCTGGTTTGTGTTGTTATGCCTCTGTTTGCCCTCGTATTTTGTACCGGAAGTAGCAGCAGCACAGATCCTTTGTGAGTGTCACACTCTAAGCCAAACCAAACCCCTTCTTTATAATTTCCCAGTCTCATATATACACATATTCCCTTCTTCATTGGAATTCACAACAACGGACATTATGGTATTTATGATTCTTAATAAATCTGGCAGTGAAGAGACATGTTTACAATTGTTTAACACATACACTTAAAAGCATAGTAGCACCTATTATTGTCCTGGAAAGAGTTCTTTGGGAAGTTTCACTAGAGAAAAGGACAAAAACTTTTTTCAAAAGTCAAACCATAATACCTTAAAATGGCCGAAATCAAAAATAATGACTACCCTCTGGAAAGGAATCTCCCTGGAACCAGAATGGGTGATATCTTATTGCTGTTGGAAGTAGAAGGCTATTGTGTAATAAAAAAGTGTGATTTACAATGAGCACTAAGCTAAATATCATTGAGAGTAACACAAATTGAGAAGATGCCATCATCTTGGTGCTCCACTTAGCTTTCCTCCTGAGTTTCCCAAACGCATTGAATTGTTTTTCTTCTCTTGAGTAGATCCAAGAACATGATTAGGACCCCAATAGTATAGGATTAATGGTGATAATCAGTCAACCCCCAAGAAGTACTTCATCCTCTTTCTCTTAGCGAGTCACTATCTTTTAATAATCTACACTTTAGCTCAAGGATGAATCATTTGTCTTTGTCCCATTTTGTAACCCAAATATATTGTCTCTGGCACCAAACACACGAAGGTCCCTTATAGATAAGCCAGTTCTTTAGTTACACTTGAATACTTGTTTAAAACTTTCTTTTGGTGACAAACTACACCTCACCTCATGCTGCATATTTCAGCCTACAGACTGCACTGCTATTCAGTGAATTCTTCTGAAGACTGTGCAAATAAGTAGGGAACTTAGAAACTCAAGGTGGAAGAGGACTATACAAGGCATGAAGAAAATTTATTTAAGGCCAGATATGGTGGCACATGCCTTTAATCTCAGCATTCAAGAGGCAGAAGTCCAAACTCAGTCTGCTCTACATACTGAGTTCCAGGACAGCCAAGGTCACATAGTGAGATCCCATCTCAAAAAATTAAATAAATAGAAATGACTAAATAATCAATTTGGAGATGAAGAGATGGGTTGGTAGTTGACTGTGTACTGCTCTTTCAGAGGACCCTGAGTTCAGTTCCCAGACCCATGTGAGGCAGCTCCAAACCACCTGAACCCTAGCTCCAGGAGGACCCAATGATGCCTTTTGTCTCTAAGGGCATCTGCGTTCATCGGTACACACACACACACACACACACACACACACACACACACACACACACCAGGGGGCATACATATACACATAATTAAATTTTTAAAAGAAAATTTATTTAAAAATAATCTCTTTAACCAATGTTACTGACTAGACTAATGTTCTGGGTGCACAAATCCGAACTGACAGTGAATAAAGTGCTTTTATTTTTAGTTCTGAGTTTCTTAGACTTTCTACATTCTCTTATGCACTTAACACAACTGTTTATTTTCTTAACCTTTTTAATTCAAATCTTTTTAAAATGAGTTATAAATCTCTCTTTTGAAAACTCCCTTCTCCCTTGATGCCAGAAGCGGGATCTGCCTCCTTCCAGCTCATCACTAGTGCTATCCTTCAGTGACCAGCTTTTAGCCTTCCGGCTCCCACAAGGGTTTATTTTTGTCAAACTCTTATTTATCACTTCTAGGCAGAGCTAGATCAAAATCTAGAACTTGGGATGCTCATCTGGTTTTGTTAAAGTTGAAAACTATTGAAAAGGGATCTCACCATAGAACCTTCACCTGGCAATGGACGGAGATAGAGACAGAGACCCACACTGGAGCACTGGACTGAGCTCCCAAGGTCCAGATGAGAAGCAGAAGGAGGGAGAACATGAGTAAGGAAGTCAGGACCACGAGGGGTGCGTCCACCCACTGAGATGGTGGGACTGATCTAATGGGAGCTCACCAAGGCCAGCTGTACTGGGAGTGATGGAGCATGTGATCAAACCGGACTCTCTGAACGTAGCTGACAAGGAGAGCTGACTGAGAAGCCAAGGACAGTGGCACTGGGTTTTGATTCTACTGCATGGACTGGCTATGTGGGAGCCTAGTCTGTTTGGATGCTCACCTTCCTAGACCTGGATGGAGGGGGGAGTACCTTGGACTTCCCACAGGGCAGGGAACCCTGACTGCTCTTTGAACTGGAGAGGGAGGGGGATGGGAAATGGGGGGAGGGGAAAGGAAATGGGAGGAGGGGAGGAGGTGGAAATATTTAATTAAAAAATAAATAAATAAAATTAGAAAAAAAAGAAAAGGGGTCTCACCAACAGGAACTGTAAGTGATGCTCTCCATTCATTATTATTGCATGGATTCTTCATCACAGCCCTGTCAACCTACCCTAATTTAGCAATGAGAAAACTGAAGATCAAAGAGATCAGCTAACTTTGTCTAGTCAGCTAGAAGTGATAGAATGAAGGATATAAACTATGGGAAAAGCGGAAGTTCGGCTTTACCACCTCTCCTCTCATTCAGGCTGGCTTTATACACCTGCCAAGGAACCCACACTGAGAAATATGAGAGAGTCTAGATAGACTACTCCCACTCCAAACATTTTTTTTAAAAGCTCAACCCAGCTGTTCCAGAAGTCCCTTTGGCTCTTTAATTCTTTGAGATTCATGTAAGCATCTTAAAGTGGACAGTATCCAGGAAGAGAAACAACAAACTGAATTGCTAGCATGTAATCATACTTTAACTATTTATTAAGCACCATTTATTAAACAAATAAAATGAGATGATAACAGCTACTTATATTTGCTTAGCACTTTAGCTTTGCACGGCCTCACTGTAACCTGAAGTATTACACAAAACTGAGATTACGATCTCCATTTCAGAGATGATGAAATTATGGCTCAAAGAACTTGAATGACTCATCTAAGGTGACACACTTGAGTTCCATTTCCAAATTCAAGGCTCAAACTTGGGTGTCCTGATCCCCAGTCTTGTGTTCTCTCCTTTATAATACATTAACTCAAAGGGTTTATAGGTGGGATACACAAGCCAAGAATGCAGGAAGAATTAACTGATAATTCAAAATAGTGTCCGTAATGTCAAGAAATGTTAAAGGTGCTAACTGACTGCTGTGGACAGTAATTACAGAAGACAACATCAGGAAGATCACTGTTGGTTAAGAATCAACAGAGAAAGTGTCTGAGACCTAAGCATGGCCTGTGGAAAAAAGTTAAAAAAGGACAACTTGAGGCGTGGTATTTCAGTAAAGAGAACAGAGACAATGAAAGTCCAGAGGTAAGAAAGTGCAAGTGTTGTCCAGAGAGAGAAAACAAGAGACCTGTTTACCTAGAGAAATTTAGAAATGTAGCTCGATTGCAAGACCGTGGGCTCTGTCCCAAGATACACAGATACACATACACACACACACACACACACACACACACACACACACCAAACAATCAAACACAAAAACCTAGAGAAGAGACATTTGTATTGAGGGAGAATAGAAGATTCATAAAACGTTCTTGAATTTCTGCCTAAATTATTTTCACTTGTAGACAATAAAAAATCATCAAAGACTTTGAGAGAAGTGTTGGACAGACTGAGCTGACAATGTGCATTTGTGTGAAAGGAGGCAGGAGGTAAAGACTATACAGAAACCTATGACATCAGTCAGGGAGAAGATGAAAAGAGTCAGTATTAGAAGGGTAGCATTTGGGACCATAAAAGAAGGCCAATTACAGCTGGCAAAAAGAGCAATGTCAGAACTTGAAGACAGGAAGAGAAAAGAATGGATTTTCTCAGAAGCTTTAGAGCCTAGGTAATTTAAGAAAAATGTCATGAATAGAAATGAGCAAGATAAGTAGGGGAACTGGTTCAGGTGGTTTCATTTTGTATATTACGGGCTAGAAGCAACAGTGGAAGATCTAAGTGAACCTATCCAATAGGCAATTGAGGTTTAGAGGAACAAAGGTCTGGCCTAGCACCAAGCTGGCATGGGAGAATGAAAGGAGTCGTGGGAATGCAGTCCAGGGTCTAGTATCTTCCTGCCATTGTGTAGAAAGTCACAGGCATGGCACTTCACTGGGTCTGCTTCTTCAACTGGAAAATGAAGGGGAACCCAAGTCCTGTGTGTCCTGTGAGGTATTCTCGAGGACTAGAAGTCAACTAAATCATAGTCACCTGCTATTTGTTCTCTCCAAGAGGAAATCAACAATCTGATAAACGAGAAAGGATTAAATAACCCCCACATGTTGAGAGTCAGACAAGAAGATGACAGCAAAGAGAGAAGTAACGAAGGAAAAGCGGGAGGAAAGAGACTCTAAATCAAGGGAATGAAGTGAAGAAATAAAGCATTATAATAAATGGGTTAAATATGTCAAATATGACCAATGATAATACACATATTAAATAATTATCACATTTCAGTAGAAGCTTACCACTAAAATAGCTGAAGAATAATGCGAATAATAAACACGAAGAGAAAGTGTTCAGTGCCATAAGGAGGTAAAGAAGTGAAATTAACAAATTGAATGTTTACCATCCAGAAAGATTTCCTATAAAGTCTGATGCTGGAACTGCAATGGAACGAGGATAGCCATATATCATTGTGACAGTAAAAATTTATGCAGTCATTTTGAAAAATCACAATCCATACAAATGTTCATGCTCTTTGGTCTGGTAATCTTACTCCTGAGAACTTGTACTAGACTAGACACAGAATTGCCAAGAAGAAAAAAAAAGCCACAAGCAGGAAGATATTCAAAGCACAGAAAAATTGAGCTACCTAAATGTTCAATGGCAAAAGGATAGTCTAATAAGATATAATCTACCAATGGGAGTACTTTTATATAGCTATTGAAATAATAAATGTGAAAGACTGCATCAACACGGGAAAGGAGAGAGTTTAAAATAAGAGAGGATTATACTCGTTTTGAGATAGGGTCTCACTACATAGCCTAGGTTGACTTCAAACTTATGACCGTCTTGCCTCTACTATCAACTCTTGGGATTATAGCCTACCATACCATAATACCCTAAAAACAGACTTTCATACACTGTGGTTACACTTCGACAGTACATGATTACAAATCAAGAGAACATGAAGCCTGAAAAGTGAGAATAGGGGTTTGAAATAGGTGAATCTTTTCTCTCCACATTTCCTCCCTCAGTGTTGTCACAGTGAGACCTTTAAGTGCTATTTTTATATTTTAAACAACTATAAAAGACATGCAATAGAGTCGACTGAAATAGAGAGGTCAAAGATGGATAAAAGTAATATATACATATATATATATATTGATAAATATGTATGTATATCATTAAAAATTCTTGCCAAAGACATAACTCGTGTTCTGAGAGCAGCGGAGCGGGAGGCAATGCAGTTTGGAGAGTTTGGAGCAATTCCGTGAGTAATCGGGGTGCAGAGCCCTCTTTCTGGAGATGCAGTGGTGGAATGAATAGACACAAACAGAAGGGCAGCAAGATGAGATGGCAAGGTTAAGGTACGAGTGCTTATGGCTTTTTCAAATGATATAAAATCAGTGTAAAGTATAAAATCAGTGATGGAAGTAACTGAAAAATACAAAGAGAAAAATAAACAAAGTCTTGGTGGCATACGTCTTTAATCCCATCACTCAGAGAGGCAAAAAGGCAGGTGGATCTCTGAGTTCAAAGCCACCCAGGTCTCTGTAGCTAGTTCTAGGCTAGATAGAGGTACCCAGTAGCAGTCTGTAAAATCCAGGAAGTTAGTCTTGACTAAGCAGCTTGGAGTTATGGGGCCTGGCAATGGAGGAGCTTGAAGAGAATAATCTTAGCTAGGAGAGGTGACAGGCAAGGGGGCTGTGGCCTTAAGAGTGGGGACCTGGCAAGAATAAAAAAGGATCAGTAATTTACTACTAATAGACGAACTCTTGTGTTCCAAGGGAGAGAATCCCTGTAAAGACTGGGAAGGAGGGCAGAGGGGCATGAAGATTAAGCTGTTTTACTCTGCAGCCTAGCCCCTCCCTCCCCTACTCTCCAGAGACAGAGAGAACACTTAGAAGCCAATCAGAACTTGATGTCAGTAGATGAGTAGGTGACCAGAGAGGGCAGCAAAGGCTGGGGTCTGACTCAGAAGACCCACAGGCTCTAAGGTGATTTCGTAGGAAAAGAGACTGAAAATAGATTTCCCTTTGCATGAAAGCCCGCCCAGAAACTCTTAACTCTCAGGCTCGGGATTGAGTTCCCCCGGCTCCGTACGCCCACCAGGTCCTCCAAACTCATTAGGTGCTGTGGCAAGAGGATTGAACAGGTGCAAAACCGAGTGCCCCACCCTGGCCTTGAAATCCTATAGCCTGATTCAGAACGAGCTGGTGACAGGTTTATCCTTTCTCTAACTAGAGCTAGCGAAAGGGGAGAGACCAGTCAAGAGCCAGTTCTGGGCGTCTATTCCTGTCACCGCCCTATCCTTTGCACAAACCTGCTCTGCCCATCAGTTCTAGAACTTGGAGCCAAGGACTCAAAAGGTCTTCTTCCCTCTCAGTCAGAGTTGTCCACTCTTCCTTTTATTAAACATATGGGAGCTACCAAATACATTCTCCACAGTCACAGAGGTGGGTCTAGTCTCGTTCTTGCTCCCAAGGTTGCTGTCAACCTGGACTCTGCCTCCTGAAGCTCTGCAGGGTCGCCCCTCAAGGGCAGTACTCTACCTCACAGCTGCTCAGCAGTTCAACAGCACCAAGCTTCTAGCTGCTGGTGGAGCTCTGCCCGGCAGGTTTGGAGGTCTTGTATCCTATTTCAGTACCTTGGCAGGTAAGACTAGCTTGTCTTTGAGAGGGAGCCAGGAAGTGGGTGTGGATGCTACATATGGCAAATATGTCATCTGTGATATGCTAGTACCTCAGCTTCCTGATTCTGGCTTGCTCCATTATATACATCAGGCCAGTCTTGAGATCGCTCCACCCTTCACCCCTCTGACTGAATTCTCTACTCTGGTTGGAGAAAGGCATGCTATGGAAGGACCCGGGGAAGCAGAAAGGGCAAAGAGCACTGGGGAAGTCTTGCAGTTCTAGAAATCGAATCGGGGCCCCAGGAAAGGACAGAAAAGCAGAACAAAGAAGAAACCGAGGAGTAACTGCCCCAAAGGTGGACTGTAAAGAGGGCAGCCCCTCATCAGGTGTCACTAACAGGCTCCCTTCCCTCCGTCCTTCAGTTACCCTATTCCTTTCATAGCTGATGTCCGGGGTTATAATCTGTCTCCCCCATAGGTAGGGAAGATGACGTCCTGGTGGGTGTCTGCCCACCTGCTGCTTTCCTCATGCAGGGTCACCAATGCCAGGGAGGAGGCCATAGTCTGAGGCTGGGGCCCGGTACCTCTGCATAGCCGCTGGAGCTGGCGTCGATACTTGTCCCCGGTAAACAGATAGAGCACTGGATCCAGACAGCTATTAGCACTGGCCAGGGGCCGGGTCACTTTGTAGACCACGTTGACCGTGTTCAGCACCTGGCAGTCAGCTTTCAATAGCCTTGCCAGGTAGTAAACTGTGCGGGTGATGTGGAACGGTACAAAGCAGACAGCAAAGACAGTCAGCACGACAGCAATGGTGCGGAGCGTGCGGAGCCGAGACGATGACTGTCCAGCTCCTGGCAAAGGGCGATACAGTCGTCGGGCCATGAGTCCGTAGCAGACCAGAGTGACCAAGAAGGGCAAGCCAAAGAGCAACACCATGATTGCCGAACTGAAGTGTACATAGTGGTCAAACTCCTCAGGCCGGGTGGTGTCATGGCACAGGATGGTGGTCCCACTGGGGCTGGTTGTCACAAAGAACAGGTTGGGCACGAGGCAGCCAGCTACCACCAGCCACACAGCTAGGCAGAGAAGGCTTGCAAATCGTGGGCGGCCCCAGCGGAGCGCCCGCAGTGGGTGACAGATGCCCAGGTAGCGGTGCACACTGATGCAGGTGAGGAAAAGGACACTGCAGTAGAGGTTCCAATAGAAGAGAAAGCGGACAAACTTGCAGAAGGCAGCGCCAAAGGGCCAATGGTTTCTGGCAGCGTAGTAGTACACGAGAGTGGGCAGTGACAGCACATACAAGGTGTCTGACAATGCCAAATGGAACATGTAAGTTGCTGTTGCATCCCAGGGTCGAAGGCGGAAGAGGAACAGCCAGAGGGTTGGGGCATTGAGGGCTAGGCCCAGGACAAAGACAACCGCATAGCTCACAGGCAACAGGATGAACTTGAACTCCTCGTTAAAGGTACAGCGTCCATCTCCAGAACTTTGGCTGGGGCCTAAAGATGTAAATAGCAAGGATTCTGAACTGGTCATGGCCCCCTAGAGGTAGAAAGGACAGAAGTGAATGTCTGATTTCCCTAGTTTCCCAGTCCTGACCAACCTGCAACAAAAGAGGAAAAGCACCAAGGAGAGCGAGGAGGATCAGATCCAAGTGCAATCCAGGCCCACCCAGCTCTTCCCCAGCCCGTCCCCAGCTCTTCCCCAGCTCTTCCCCAGCTCCCTGAGCCCAGTCCCTACCCTGCTGCTCTAGCCCAGCCTCTACCCAGTTCCCTTAGCCCAGCCTCTACCCAGTTCCCTTAGTCCAGCCCCTACCCTGCTCCCTTAGCCCAGCCCCTATCCAGCTCCCGTAGCCCAGCTCCTACCCAGCTCCCTTAGTCCAGCCCAGGGACTGATGGGCATCAGGCAGTGCAGGGACTCGGACAGGCAGTCAGTGGTGTTCTGCAGCTTCCTCTCCTGCAGAGCCTGGCTAGCCGAAGAGGGTGGAGGCTGACCAGCAACATCTAAAGGGAAGATAGCCAGGCTCGAATTATCATCTAACTCACCATCAAAGTTCTGTCCTAGTGACTGAGGGCCTCTCTCCCTCTTCTCTCACCCTGGTCTTAGTTCTCCGTAGTTTTATTTCCCTCTGAAGCCACCCCTCCTCACACCTGCTTCAGCCCAGGAGCTCTACCTCCACCACCCTTGCCTAGGAACCTTAGCAAGACTCCTACCCAGTGCCCTTGAAGCTGAGCCCAGCTGACTCTGTCACCCTCCCTCTTGGCAGCCAGAGGGCATATTCTTGGGGGCGGGACTCGGGGTGGCGCTTCTCCCTCCTCCTGTTCCATCCCAGCAGATTGTCAGAGCTAGAAAAGCCCTTGGAGGTTATCTAGTCCAACCCAATCAGCATACAGATTGGGAAACTGGGACCCAGTGAGATTACTATTTAACAGCTTCAAAATGATTGTGTACACAAGGAGACATCCACGTTTACAGATAAAGAGCCAGGCCACTGAAGATAATTAAATTAGAGGAAGATCATATAAGTTTATGGGCATAGAGACATGGGAAATGAATTTTAACATGGACAACAGCAAGTCAACACACTGAAGGACTTTTGAAAATGTAAACTACTGATAACCATCTTTACTCTGTATGCATTTAATTATAACAAATGTTTATCTAGTCCTTACTCTGTGCTAGGCACTGTTCTAAGGACTTTATACCCATGGATGATTCTACAGGCTATCAAATAGGTTTTATTACTGCCTCTACTTTATTGATGAGAAAATTAAGATACAGATAGTTTGAGTATTTTGATAATTCATGGTAAGATCAAGATTTGCAAACTCTAACATCCATAACTTAATGAGTATGATAACTTGATCCTCCATGCTACTGGATCAGACCTGGAAAAGGGTCAACAAACATTTCCCAAGAGCTTTCAGTTCTAGATCCTGGTAGTTCGCTACGAGTGAACGAAACAGATTAAAAATTGACAGCTTGGGGCTGGAGAGATAGCTCAGTGGTTAAGAGCACTGACTGTTCTTCCAGAGGACCCAGGTTCAACTCCCAGCATTCACATGGCAGCTCAGAGCTGTCTGTAACTCCTTTCCAGAGGATCCAAATACCCTCACACGTACGTGAAGGCAAAACACCAAAGCACACAAAATAAAAATTAAAAATTAAAAATCTACCAGCTTAATAGGAGTTACATAATATTGGAGGTAATAATAAATTAATAAACCATAAAGAGTATGATCATTGTTATAGAGAAAAATGAAGGAGATAATGAAGAATTTGCTGTTTTGAATACTGGAGTGACTTGAATAATGAGCAGGTAGTTTGAGGAAGAAGAACAGAATATGAGGTCAGAGCATTTGAGAGGGAACAGGTCTTGAAGGCTCTGTGAGCCAGTGTAGGGCCTTTAGCGTGTGGAAGAAAGCCACAGAAGCTTTGGAGAGGAGTGCCATGGTCTGACCTGCTCTCCAGAGAGCTCTGTGCTGAGACAAGATAGCAGGGCAAGCAGCACAGGAAGAGGAATCAAGAGTGACTCCAAGCACATGCCAGCAATGTCACTAGCTGAGACTGGGATGATTGCTCCAAGTTCAAAGCCAGCCTGGGTCACATACTAAGACTCCGTCCAAAAGAATTAATTCCAGGCTTCTTGCCTGGGCAACTAGAAGAAGGGAACTTCTGTAAACAGGCCCAGGGAAGGCTATAAGAAAGAATATTTGGGGAAAGAAAGGAAGTTCATTTTCCAGCATATATGTTTTGAGATGCCTATGGCACATGTAAGAACAGATGGCCAGGAAGCAGTTCATATCTCCGTGTGGATGCTAGCCAATGAGCTTCCCTTACACCTCCCACCCCTTCCTACACAGCACCTTGTCTCTTTCCATCACCCCAGGAGAACCTGGTCTTAATACAGTAGAGAAGGCATGCGGAGCAAGTTTCCATTATTAAAAACCTAATGACAGAGAACAGTTGCCAGCAGCTGAGGCTTCAGGAACTTAATCTGGCTTCCTAAGTACCACTGTCTCTAGCATACCAGACTAACCGGGTCTGGAGGATGCTGTGGGTAAGGTGAGCAGTACTTGTTGGGAGGGATGAGCAGGCTGGAGCAGAATCTTTAAGTGGAGCTTAGAAGCAATGAAGACTCAGAACCTGATCCTCAGGTCCCAGGAATGTGACCTAACTGCATCCTGGAAGAGAAAGGAGGAGGTGGGCCTGCAAAGGACATTCTAGAAGCCAGAAGCTGGATCTCTTGGAAGACCTACAACTCTGGATGTGGGAGGAACCTGGAGCCCTGGTCCTGTTTCAGGTTGAAGTGGCACAACCTGAGTCCTGGGCTACTGACTGCTGGGATGTGATATAAAAAACCCAAATGTCTGCCTGGAGCTAGGCTAATCTTGAACTCAAATCCTTGTTCTGTTTATTAGCTGTATAAACCTGGGCACCTATTTCTGAGTTTCCTCAGCACTGAAATGGAGGCAGTAAAACCATAGGTATCAGAGTATGAATTGCTCAGTAGGCATACAAACACTTGTAAGTCATAAAATGCTGCAAGTCTCTTATATTTTCTTCACATTATTCTGTTCCCAGGGATGAATTTGACCTCTTCCTGGGAGGTGAAGTGTGTCTTGAGACTTGGTGTAGACTCTAGTCATGGAGAAGTGCCACGTTAGAAAAGATCTGGCTACAGTGACCTACAGCCAAGCACTGGGCTGAGCCCCTGAAGCTTAGTTGAAGAGAGGGAGGAGGGATCATATGACCAAGGGAGGGTCGAGATCATGATGGGGAAACCCACAGAGAGAGCTGACCAGAGCTAGTGGGAGCTCACTGACTCTGGACTGACAGTTGGGGATCCTGCATGGGACCGAACTTAGCCCTCTGAATGTGGGTGACAATTTTATGGCTTGAGCTGTTGCGGGCGTGGGGGGTGGGGGAGGCGAGAGGCGGGGTGGCAGGATGAACCCAGTGCATGAATTGGCTCTTTGGAACTCATTCCCTAAGGAGCGATACCTTGCTCAGCCTTGATATGGGGGGGAGGGGCTTGGTCCTGCCTCAACTTGATATGCCAGGCTTTGTTGACTCCTCAAGGGAAGTCTTAACCCCTCTGAGGAGTGAATGGGGGGTGGGACAGTAGGAGGTGGGGGCTGGAAAAGGGGAGGGAGAGAGAACTGGGACTAGTATATAAAATGAAAAAAAAATAGATAATTTTAAAAAAGATCGGGCATGAAACAGCTTCCTGCTCTACTGCTTCAAGCTGGCTTAACTCAAGGGGTTTCCCGGATTTAAGGCTGCCAGGCTTCACCTGACTTCAGTCCAAGCAGGTTTCTGCTTGTCCCTGGACACAGCTGCAGCTGCTGCTGCTGTTGCCACTGCCGCCCAGTGGCTACTTTAGGAAAAGACCTCCCCCAACCTCCCTTACAGAGGGAACAAAGCCCCACAGAAGAGATGCCCTCATCTCTGATCCGCTTCTTCCTTTTGTTCTCTGTGGCCTGCATTTGCTTGGCTTCTGCTATTCCTCTGGACACTCATGACCCCTTTCCCCATCTCCTTTTTGGTCATCCTTCCACCAAATGTGGCTCTTCCCCAAAGCAATTTCCCCTTCCTCCCACCACCCTTCTTTCTTTCCTCTTCTCCTTCTCCACCACCTCTTTCCCACTTTCCCCTCTCCAGCTCTCCTCAGAAAGTCACCCTCATGATTTTAACTGCCGTTTAGAAGTTATTGATAATTTTATTTTATTTTGTTTTAAGACAAGATCTTGCTCTGTAACCCAGGTTTGCCACTCCACCTCCTGGTGCTGTTATTACAATATGCACCACCACACCCGGAAGATGTTATCAGTAATTCTAATAACAGAGACATTCCAGCATAGGGCTCTCTCTCTCTCTCTCTCTCTCTCTCTCTCTCTCTCTCTCTCTCTCTCCCCTCCTCCTCCTCCTCTTCCTCCTCCTCCCCCTCCTCCTCCCCCTCCTCTTCCTCCTTCTTCTCCTCCTTCTTCTCCTCTCAAATTTCTGTCTCAGAGCTGCAGAAAAAGCTCAGTACTTAAGAGTACTTGTTGCTCTTACAGAGGACCTAAGTTTGAGTCCCAGCACCCACATCTGGCAGTTCACAATCATCTGTAATTCCAACTCCAAAGGATATGACAGTCTTGTCTGACTTTTGTGGATACCTACTCAGGTGTACACACACACACAGTTAAAATAAATACTTAAAAATACTTCCCTCCTCTCCTTCCTGGTCCCTCACATGCAGTATTCATAAATGTGTTAATCGCAGTTTCTCTGAAATGCCCACTGTTTACTTGGGGACTAGAATAGAAAGTGGGGGAAAGATGTTTTCTAATCTCTTTCAATTAGGATGGAAGAACAAAAGCAGAGAAGAGAGAAAAGAAAGGAGGGAGGGAAGAAAGGAAAGAAATGAATGGGAGGTAACAATATAGTTGAAAAATGAAGGCAGACGGTCCTAAGGTTGCAATCCAGTTCCATAACCTATCAGCTGGCTGGCTGTGAATGAAGCCTCCCTGCTCCTCCACTCCTCATGCGTGCTGTCAGAATCCTAGTATCTGGACTGGTGTGAGGAGAAGATTAGACCATACACCTAAGAACTCGGCATAGTATCTGGCTGGTGTCATCTGCATCATTGTTAGTAGGTGTATTTTGAGGTTATAATAAGAGTGTTTTCCTGACGAAGGAAAGTGAGGTCACCTTCTGAAAGTTAAACCTTGATGGAGAGAAGCAGTAACTGAAACCCTGGATGACCCAAACTTATCAATAAAGTCACCTGCAAGTGACTGGTTCCATATAGTCACACTCAGGGTAGCTTTGCTCATGGATCTTCTCTCGAGTGTGCCTTTAAAATGTGTGTGTGTAGGGGGGGAATCAGGCTTTTTTTTTAAAGGGATCTTACCCTGTATCCCAGGTTGACCTATAACTCACTAAGTAGCCCAGGCTGGTCTTGAACTCAACAGTACTCCTACCCCAGCCTCCTCCGAAGTACTAGGATCACAGGCATGTGACACCACACCTAGCTTAGTGTGCCTTTCTGGTCTTTCTAAATGTGATCATGTAGGTAGTTCCTAGTAGCTGATCCATCATCACCTTTCCATCCTCCCCCACTGAGCAAATGCCCTTGTTCACATCCCACTCAAATCTGTTGATTTGGAAAGAATGTAAGAGCCAGAGAAAGGTGGGGGAGCAGTATGGAACACTGAG